GTGTTTTACCATAAATGAACACGTTCAGCAGCCGTTGTATTGATGCCAGATTGAATGTGGTGAAAATTTGTGGGAGGGCCAACCATGTTATGGTTTGATGTTACATAGCAAAAGTTTTCTTGCAAAAGCATGTTATGCCAAAAGAGCACAACATTTTCTTCCCAAATGGTTGACTTTCTTGGAACCTGCCTTAGTCCAGCAGAAAAAGTTGGTGCATGACACTGCAAGTGAATGTGCTCCAGCTGCAGTCTATAGAGTCCAGTCTAGATCTCTATTGAGGTTCATTGTGAAAGAAGAAAAAAGCATTATATCGCTGCAAAATCATGTCTCTAGCGAGGTAAGACGTCTGACACATACTTTCTTATTTCCTAATATAATTTGGTGGAAAGCTCAATATTTCTTGCAGTGATGGGAAATGTGTGGTGCTGTGTTCGTGACAGGTGCAGTTGAACAGTTGAGCATATTTGATTTACCACTGCATTTTGCCCCAAAATGCTTGTATTTAGTGCATTCAGGTGTCGGGTAAAGTTGACAAAAAAACAAAAAGCAGGAAGACAAATAAAACAGTTCTGGCATTTGTTGTGCTTCATTTTCCCTTTTCAACCTACTCCCTAAGAGAGAAGATCTACAGCGTAGACGCCCAACTGAGCCATTATCATTGTGTTACACAACATCTCTGTATTCATCCTCAATAAGAAACCATTGAAACGGTTGATCACAGAGGTTTTGAGCGAATAAAATGAATAGTCTTTATCACTGCTTTCATAAAATCGTCATATTTTGGTTATTTGGCACTTGTTTGTGAATAATGTGGAGGAGTTTTATAGCCATGCTAATTTCATTACAGACTAGACTTGCTTGCCCATTTAATTAGCCAACCATCTGTAATAATTCCACTAGATATTTTATAATACAATGTGCCAAATTTTAATTTTAATATATGGAAACGAATTAATTATGAAATCAAGTTAAATACAGTACAGTATTAGATACAGTATTAGCTTACATTTTAATTGTTAGCATGTTAACAAGGTCAAAATTGTGGTTAATTTAGGCAACCCATTTAACCTGAGGCATGTTAGAGGAGGTGTGGAAGGAAAGTAGAGCCTCCAGGGGAAACACACACTCACGAGAGGAGATATAAGATCTCAGAGAGTTCTGTCTGTGGGTGAGTTCAGGGTGGCTGTGGCTCCACAGAGGAAATCTAAAAGTAAAAGAGCACTCTACTGCTCTAATAATAGCGATGCCGAACAATTTTCCATTGAGCTTCAATAAGCAGCCAAATCAATGCTCCAAACTACCACACATCACCTACCCAATATTATAAAACTGATTTGAATTACAATAAAAATGCTGACATCGGTAACAATATCAGTATTCCAATATATCTGTTGATCTATATCTCATGAGACACAAACATCCTTTAACTATAGATGTTAAACTTCTCTTAGTGCGGTTTGCCCAATGAATATACATTGATGACCTTTTTAAAGCTCTTAAAATGAACACTGACAAACATATTTTAGTGCTGTTTCTTTCGCTCTAATTTGCTAGATGTTTGATTCTTTTTCCTTTCATACTTTAATAGAGTTTAGTTGCCAGATCTCTAATGGGATTCCCTGACTGAAGAGAAGAGAGAGAAAATGGGAGCAAACCAAAAGCGATAAGGGAGTTAAAACAGATTGGCCTCTTTCAGCTCAAAGCTAATTGGACTGTGGTGTGCTACAAAAGACCCTGGCTTCAGCCTAGATGGGGATCCCTGTTCTCCTGGGTGTAAACATACTCTCTCTCTGCTTATGCCCCTCAGAGTTGATGGGATGTCTGGTGATACATCAATCTCAGAGATGTAAAGAGTTTAATTAAAAGTACATTAAAGTCATAAAACTTGATGACATTTGTCCCTCTCCTCTCTTCTCTGTCTCCTGCACTCTATCGCTCTCTGTTCACAAAGTCATCAGTACCTAATCTCCACACCCAATCCGTGTCTAGTTCCCATTAGCAGACCTCTTTATAAAGCTGCAGTCACACTACTTCTGAACCATAAGGTTAAATTTCAACGCATGCGATTGCGTGCGGTATGAGCTCGGCCACAAAACACCATTAAAAAAAAATAAACAATTCACTTTATAATGCCTCTAAACTATAATGCTCTCTAATCCTCTGGACACAAAGCAAATGGTGTGTTTAGAGGAGAGTAGCACGCTGAGGGTGAGTATTGACAGGTGGGCATGAGCGAGGGAGCACACAGGCTAGGGTGCTAACAGGTGAGCCTAACTAGTGGTAATCTCGCATCAACAGGACCACTCAAGAAGAAGACTTCTGGACCTGGGGAGTAAGCATAGCACAGGCAAGTAGTCAGAGGTAGGAACTCATGAAGCAATCTGTGAAGAAAGCCAGCAAAGGAGTCCAGGAAGTAAACACTGGGGAAGGACATTGGCGACGTACAAGGAACTGATGGAATGTGTCGTTTTCTAGAGGACTTTAGTGACAGTGATTGGATAATGAGGTGAGGGGTTGCAGGTGATCTTAAGGAGAGTTTTGAGCAGATTTGTAGGCTCACTGTGAAAAAAAAAATCCATTAATTAAATGTGAGTGCATGTTGCAATGGGAGATTCTGGATTCCGATCCGACAGAAAGTTCAGCTGGGACGTGCGATATCGGGTCATGTAACGTGTCTTGAGCCACCACATCGGCCTCTGTAAATGGATATTTTTAGAATGCCAGTGTTGCTTTACCGTAGGTTAGAGAGTATCCTGTTATAATTTAGATGAGTTTTATATGGATAGGAGGGATTTAAAAACAAAATGTTTCAAAGGTAGTTTTTTCAGGTTTTACCATGCGATCAATGTCAAAAGGTTACTACACAGTTCCTCCCTAATGTTTGTAAAGATAGAAGATGCCAACTTGTCGGAAAATACATGTATACTTGTATTTCTTGTAACAGACACGTCTCTCTACAAACTGCCAGTTGGTAAACTAACTTCAAGTTTCCTCTGAGGCAGAGACAATGATTATAAAAAAACCTAAGTCTTCCTAAAGCCCAAAGCAAAGTAGCTCGACCATGCTTCAGACCTCCAGGATCTCGATTCAAAGACTGACAGTCTCTAGCTCTCAAAGGAACATGCCTCTGATTCACGGCTCTGACAATGGCGGAGACATGAATAAAACATTGCACATCTTGAGCGGACAGATATGATGTCTATCTTCAAACTGTGTGAGGTGGGAACTGTGCTTTTGGTATTTGATTTGAAATAGATCAGGAAAAACGGCTTTTTGAGAGTATCAAACAAGCTGTTAGCATGTACAGAGATGTGTGGAAGGTTAATCCAACTTTGAGGTTTACCAAAGATGTAAGCATGCAAGGCCAGAACCAATCAAACATGAAACATTTTGACGTTTTAAACACTTATGCTCTGACTTTTGTTTTTAAGAAAATCTTGCATAAAGTGAGCAAAAATCAATTGTAAACTTTTCAATTTGTTTCTCTCAAGAATCAACAAGGATCCATTCAGATCTTTTGCTGAAGATTTACCTTTGTCTCTCTTTTTCATTGAACTTAAATGATGAAACTTAAATGACGTTATATTCATAACTTAAAAGCTGGTGAATATATTGTGTGAAATACCTAATTATATGAATAAGAAAAACAATGAATGCCAAATATAGTTCTGTAAGTTGAATGTTATGTGACTCCAAATATAAAAGTCTTGTGGAAATCTAGGTTAATCAGTCAAATTTGCATTCTCTTGCTTGCCATGTTAACAACAATATGCCTATACATATTCATCCTTTATGATAGAAACAAGGAAACAAAACGATCTCTGTATTATTCAAATTTGTGTTTTGATTTTTTTATTCCATCAAAACAAAATTCATTGATTTTCTTGTAAAAGCATGGTGAGAAAATGAGATAAACAACATATGTTTTTTTTTTTTAACAATGCACAATTGCCTATCAGGAGTGATGTGATCGGTTGCCTAAATATGACAAGCCTTGAATTAAGAGTGCCAGGGAGTCTCAAAAATATTGAGCATAAATCCCGAGCAGCTTTTATACACGACTAGTTGCAAGTCAACATTCATACATATGATGTATGGGTAGAGACTGTGGCAGTGAGGAAGAGACAAGAGGCAGAGATGGAAGTAGCAGAGATGAGGATGTTGAGGTTCAGTTTAGGAGTGACGAGGATGGACAAGATTAGGAACGAGCACATCAGAGGGACAGCTCAAGCTGGTTGTTTTTGGAGATAAAGTCAGAGAGGCCAGACTGAGATGGTTTGGACATGTGCAGAGGAGGGATAGTGGTTATATTGGTAGAAGGATGTTGGAGATGGAGATGCAAGGCAAGAGGTCAAGAGGAAGACCAAAGACGAGATATATGGATGTACTGAAAGAGGACATGAAGTTAGTTGGTGCAAGAGTAGAGGATACTGAGGACAGAGTTAGGTGGAAACAGATGATTCACTGTGGCAGAAAGTAGAAGAAGAGTTGCAAGTCAACATTCGTTAGTCCATAAATATATCTTACACCATTCATAAATATGAGATTAAAACCAGTTCAAAAACTTTAATGCAATTCATTTAGATTTAATTCAGGTGAATTTATATGTGTGTGAAATTTGTTTCGCTTAAAAAAGTATGAAATGGCGCAGTGTGTAGCACTGTGACGTTTCAGTGTGCAGGTTGCCAGTTCAAGGCTCACCCTCTTCTCACTGTGCTTTCCTCCAGGTACTTTGGTTTTCCCCACAATCCCAAAAGCATGATACTTGTTGCCCCGTGATGGACTGGCTACCTGTCCAGGGTGTACTCCCACCTTTCATCTGAAGTGCGCTTGAGATCACCAGCAGGTCTCTTTAACCCTGTGTCTCTAAAAGATAACAAGTGGGTAAAGAAAAGTAATGATTTATTGAGTAATGAGCAACATTTTTACTTAAATATGTATGAATTTAATTGTTTTATGCATTCATGAACTCAAGCATACGATGAATTTTCAGTTGTTACTTTCCCTGGGATTTGAACCTTTCACAACCTTTGCATTGTTAGAGCAATACGCTACCAACTGAGCCACAGGAAAGCACAGAGCAAGCTTTATTTAGAATGTACAGAGCTGTGTTATGGGAGTAAAAGAGACTGTTCAATACTAAAACATGTTCAACGATAAAATTTCATTTCTCACTCTGTCCAAAAACAGAGTTCACAGAACTCAGTTTGTGCGCTTGCGAAATGTCTGCTCCAAATATGACCGTTCATGCAGAATTGTGGTCGAAAAGTAATTCTATAAAAAGCAGCAGCTTCTCACACTGAAGGCACCCAAAGAATGGTGACTGACAAGAATCTAAATGGGAAGCTGCATTTGGAGTCCAGATGCAAGACCAATTCAGATCTCACTTGAAACTTTTACCTCAGTGTAAAAAGCACCAGCTAGCATATGAAGCAATAGTTCAGTGTCAGCACCGGCCAGTTGAGTAACTGGGGCTCGGCTGGTTTCCGTCTCCTGGATGGAGGTGCATGGTTCTGAGCTGACAGGACCCATATGCCCTGGCATCGGCTTCTTGTCAGAATATGGGCAGTCCAGTGCCCGGCCCATATTCTGACAAGAAGTCGATGCCAGGGCATATGGATCCAGAGCATGGTGGATGTGAGAGATCCCATACATCTGGTCCGGAAAACCCATGCGCCACTGGACCCCTTGCGCAATACAGGGAGCCGCATACTCGCCTATCAGGCTTACCACCCAACTCAACAGAGCGCTGAGTGACTCTTTTTAATTATTTATGTGTGCCACCATTTAAAAAAACTCCCCAAGTCTCTTGGAACAGTGCCATTGTGTGAAATATATATATATATATATAAATATTATATACCGGTATATATCAACTCAGGTAAACTTTGGATTATTTTTTCAGCACTGCAGTGAGTGAGACATGAGGACATGAGAGGAGCTAGCATCAGACATCAAGGTTACCTTGTTTTTCCTGGACAGATGAGCCACATATGTTTGGTTTGCTTCACATAATGGTGTATGCTTATGTTTTCATGGATATAATCCCTGCAGATTCCTCCATATAGATGCATTTTTGGTCATATAGACACTATTGGTGGGGGGTGAGTTTGTTTTCAAACATCAATATTGATTCCCAAAGATCGCAT